TTAAATGCCATCCCTGTGCTTGCAAATCCCAGATTTATATATTCCAGCCCAGAACTCTCTCCTGAACTCCAGGCTCGTTTATTTAATTTTACACAACACCTCTACATGTATCTTTATGGTCTCCTCAAACTTTGCACATCAAAAGCTGAATTCTTTTTTTTTTAATTTTGAAAAATATTTATTTATTACTTTTGGCTGTGGTGGGTCTTTGTTGCTGCGTGCGAGCTTTCTCTAGTTGCGGTGAGCAGGGGCTACTCTTCGTGGCAGTGCGCTGGCTTCTCATTGCGGTGGCTTCTCTTGTTGCGGAGCACGGGCTCTAGAGCGCGCGGGCTTCAGTAGATACAGCACGTGGACTCAGTAGTTGTGGCTTGTGGGCTCTAGAGCACAGGCTCAGTAGTTGTGGCGCACGGGTTTAGTTGCTCTGCGGCATGTGGGATCTTCCCGGACCAGGGCTCGAACCCGTGTCCCCTGCATTGGCGGGCGGATTCTTAACTACTGCGCCACCAGGGAAGCCCCCAAAACTGAATTCTTGAACTGAATTGCTCCTCCCACAGCAAATGGCAACTTCCAGTTCTTGGGCTGAACACATGAAGCCATTTTTTATTCCTTTTTCCTCTCACATCCCACATCCAATTTGTCTGCAAGTCTTGTTGGCTCTACCTTCAGAATACAGGCAGACTCTGACCCCATCTTGCCCTCCACCCAGCTTGCTGCCACCTCCGTGGGCATCACCCCCCTCCCCTGGATTATTGGGGCCTCCCTGCTGGCCCCCCTGCTATTGCACTTGTCTCCCACAGTGTGGTTTCAACCCAGCAGCCAGAGCGATCCTTTTAAAACACAAGTCAGATCATGTCATTTTAATGCCTCCATCTCACTTGGAGTAAAAGCCAAAGTCCTCCACTCACCACAAGACTCCATGGGACACCCCACCCCCATCTCCTCCCACTCTCCCCTCGCTCATCTGCTGCGGGTACACTGGCCTTCTTGATGCTCCTCTCCCACCTCAGAGCCTTTGCAAATTGCTTTCATCTGCCTGATACACTCATCCCTTCTTGGCCACATGGCTTCTGCCCAGTTCCTCCAGGTCTTTTTCTCAGTGTGTCCTTTTCTCAGTGAACCCTAACTACCCAATTAGAATGGCAGTCTCCCCTCCCCACCCTCTCCTCTGCTTTATTGTTTCCATAGCACCCAGCACCATCTACACATCATACCTATTTATTGCCTGTTTGTCTGTTGGAACAGAAGCTCCAGGAGGGCAGAGATTTTGTCTGTTTTTGTTTTCTGTGTATCCCAGCTCCTGGAGTCTATAAATATTCATGGGACGAGTGAAGGGATGCTTGAGGGAAGGAGGAAGGAGCAGTCTTCCAGAACCTGATCTTGCAGGGAGTGGTGCAGTACGGCTAGAGACAGATCTCTGAGGAGGGACTTGAACGGAGTCCTCCTCAAGGTCATGGAAATTTGGTTCCTGTTTCCAGCCAAGGAAGCCTGGTGAAGTAGGAGCCAAAAGCTTGAGTTCCTGTTCCAGCTTGGCCTCTTATTGGCTGTGTGCAAATCATTCCCTTTCACTGAGCCTGGGTTTTCTCATCTGCTCATTGGGGTATTATGACCTAGTCTCAGGGCTGGCATAAAAGACCCAGTGCATGAGGGGTCCTGGCATGTAGTCAACACTCAGTGCATGCTTGCTCTCCCCAGAAGCAGTGCTAATTTGCTAATTTGGAGCAAGGTTCAGATAGGTGTGGGTTTTTGCGGGGGGCTGGGGAGGAAAGAGGAAGAGAGAGTGAGACCATAGCGGCAGACGAGGCTCTGGGAGAGAAAGAGGAGGCTGAGGGCTAGACCCTAAAGGACAGGGAGAGACACCAGAAGACAGAGCTGTAAGCAGGGCACTCTCAGATCTCACTTCACTCACCTATGAGGCAGCTCATAAAGGCCCCACCCCGACCAAACTCATTTGCGCCCGTCCAGCCCCTTGGGGAGGCAGGCAGACATGACTGATGATTGATTACACCCATTTCGTGGGTGAGGAAACTGAGGCTCAGGAGGTGGCAATATGCATCTCTGTCTCACCTCCCTTGCTAAAGGTGAGCTCCTCAGGTTCAAGGGTTGCCCACTTCCATTTCTGTCTCCTCAGGGCTGACGCTGCCAACTGAAAACAGGAGTGGGTATTCATCAGTGGGTTTCCAGCCCCAGCAGACCGCACACCCTCTTTTATAATAAATTTCTTGCAATATCTCTTTCCTGTAATGGAATGAGATTCACAGATAAAATATCCTATTCACACACTCAAAATTTTGGGGAAAAAAAAAAATCAGGGCTTCCCTGGTGGCACAGTGGTTGAGAGTCCGCCTGCCGATGCGGGGGACACGGGTTCGTGCCCCGGTCCGGGAAGATCCCACATGCCGCGGAGCGGCTGGGCCCGTGAGCCATGGACGCTGAGCCTGCGCGTCTGGAGCCTGTGCTCCGCAACGGGAGAGGCCACAACAGTGAGAGGCCCGCGTACCGCAAAAAAAAAAAAAAAAAAAAAATCAAGGTAATGCCCTAACTGAAGTGTAGAGAAGAAATGAAAGGAAGGTAATCTGTTTTTTTTCATGATTTAATTTTTAATTGATATATAATTATAAAACATTACTTAAGTTTCAGGTGTGTGACATGGTTTGATATTTGTATACATTGTGAAATGATCACCACAATGTCTAGCTAACATCTATCACCACAGGTAGTTACAATTTTTTTTCTTGTGATGAGAATTTTTAAGATCTACTCTCTTGGGACTTCCCTGGCGGCAGTCCGGTGGCTGAGACTCCGCACCCACCACAGCTAAAGATCCCACAGGCGGCAACGAAGATCCCGCAGTGCAGCCAAATAAATAAATAAAATAAATATTAAAGATTTACTCTCTTAGCAACTTCTGAATTATGATACAGTATTATTAACTTTAGTCACCATGCAGGACACCCATGATTTATTTATCTTAACTGGGAATTTGTAGTTATTTATTTATTTATTTATTTGCTGTGTAAATACACAGGCAGACACTTGCAAAACAGGGCTTGTCAAATTGAAATGTGCATAGGAGTTACCTGGGGATCTTGTTAAAGTGGAGATTCTGAACAGCAGGTCTGAGGAAGGACCTGACAACCTGCATCTCTAACCAGCTCCCCGGTGTTGCCCAGCAGCTGCTCCACTGGCGCTGGCGGGAGAAGGATGCTTCCTGTTCCCTGGGCCCATGCACCACTCTGCCTTCCCAGCAGGACCTCTGCCCAGGGCCATCCCCTCCCCAGGCCCAAGCAAGGGGCAGCCCTGTCGGGACAGCCCAGAACAAACACTGCCCAGGAAAGCGCCCGCCCTGCTGCCAAGCCTCATTCCCGACACCCATGTGGCTGGGTGCCCGCTGCCGAGACAGCAGTTCCCACAGGAGGAGCCTGCCCTGGGGTATGGGCCACTGGGGAGGGAGGGAAGCCCTGGGAATCAACGTCTGAAGGGGTGAGGGCTTTGTGTCCCTGCCCCACTGCTGCTTGGGCCACTAAATCCCAGTGCATTGTTTTCTTGCCCTGAGTGCCCTCCCATCCCCCTGTCTCCCACTTCTCCCTCATTCCCTTTGCCCTCAGTCTGGCCTAGGCCCCTGTAATGGGGAGCCCAGATTAATCTAGCCGTTCCCTATCCCGAGAAACTTTCAGGCTGGAGGCCAGCAGACAGGCAAACAGACACCTTTCACCTTTAAGCAGGTATTCTGTCAAAGGAGGTATGTGGGAGGGAGCTCATTTTCAGCCTTTTGGGTGCCAATCAGAGAAGGCTTCCTGGAGGCAGCAGGAGCCCAGCAGGGCGTGAAGGCTGTGGAGGGATGCCTTAGACAGCCCTCTCTCCCAGAGTCCCTGCCTGGACAGGGCCTGCTGATTTGGGGCACCAGCAGGGGCATTGCTGCTGTGAAGATTCCAGAGGACCCCATTTTACAGGCTAGGGTAGAGGAAAGAGAAGCTGGGTTTGAGGCCCAGCTGTGCCGCTGACATACTGTGTGCCTTCTGGGGAAAGCCCTTTTCCTGTCTGGGCCACCATAAAGGGATGGGATCTGGGGATCCCCAAGGCCAGTCTAGCTCTAAAGCCTGCGGTCCCTTGGTGACCAATGAGGAGGATTTATCACCTCTGAGGTGGGGAGGCCAGGCAGCAGGCTTATGCAGGGCTGGAACTGGCTCTGGGCAGGGGGAGTGGGTTCCGGGGAGACTCTGAGGCGGTCTCCCACCCGAGAGCTAGGCCAGACTGTTCTACTTTCTGGGCTCTGCTGGAAGGCAAAACATTAACCCATGACAGCAGGAATAACAAATGACAACAGGAATAACAGATGCCCCTCCCTCCCACGAGGACTGTGCTCCACAGCTTACAAAGCTGTTTTCTTGCTACCATCTCATTTGATCCTCACAAACTTGGCGTTAGTGCCATTTGACAGATGAGAAAACTGAGGCCCAGAGAAGTCAAGTCACTAACACAAGGCCTCAGAGCTAAGAAGACATCCCAGGACTTAAACCCAGTATCCCATCCATGGTTTAGGGAAAGTTTCCTGAATCTCCTGGGTCTGAATTGTCCATGAAGTACAACCCTTGAACACGGGGCCCTAAATTTCCACCAGGATCATTAACTTTGGATATTAGAGCTGGAAGGCTAAATCTCTCACTGTACAGGTGGGGAAACTGAGGCTGTAGAGAGGAAGGGTCTTGCCCATTTGCTAGGTAAGGTACTGGCCTCCACCCCTAGGTTCTCAGATGAAGTTCCTGGGGCTTTTTCAGCTCCCTCTCCTCCTAGTGATCTGGAGACCTGTGTTTGGGCACAGTGGGGAGGGAGGGTTTAGTGCAAGAATCCTCCAAATCAAAGAGGGAGGCTGACAGGAATGGGGAGGGGTTAGGTCTTAGAAAATATGCTTTGCCTTTAGGCTTTATTTCCTAAGATGAAGATGTGTCACTAAAGCAAGGAGGAGATGGTGGTGGGTTTTAATTTCACTGTTTGCTTCCTAGGCAGGAGCTCAAGCCTTGACTGCAGAGGTGGACGATGCTCAGCCAACCCCTGGCCAGGTCTGCCCCCCTTTGGGCTCAAGGCCCTGGCTTTGACGTGATTTTAGTGGTGAGCCTGTGTCAGGCACAGATGGAAATGGGAGTGTGTTTTCTGTGGCCCGATCATAGCCCAACCCAGAATAAGGGTGAGGTTCTGTTTGGGCCTGGGTGGAGATCTTCGTCACTGGGCTCAGGTCCAGTTTATGACCAAGGTCAGGGCTCATCCTGGGAGCAATGAGCAGGGAGCAAGGAGAAGCAGCCCTTGGTCCCTCCCAGGGCAGACTCAGCCCAGGAGGGTGGGTCAGGCAGTCCGGCTGGGAGGCCACCGGCCTTCCTTTAGGCTCCTGGACTGGAGCAGAGGCTCTGGTGAAGGTGATGCCCAGGCTCTCTGGTCCACCATCAGGTGTGTCTTAAGGGAAGGTGACCTCCCACCTCCACCCAACATCCTCCAACCAGACAACCTGCCCACCAGGACTCTGGACTCTCTCTGCTGGTCCTGCTCCAGGCTCTGAAGTTTACAGGGGCAAGTGGTGAGGATCATGGTCTCTAACTGTCCTCAGGGCTCTGTCCAGAGGCAAGCTGATGAATTGGCTAGCTGGGAAAAAGAACCAAAAGCCCTCCACTGTAGCTGATTTCAAGCCACCCATGCGATGTCACTGCATGTAGAGTTGGGAAGAGACTCACAGAATCAGCTCTTGCAAGCAGGTAGGAGCCAGCTCCAGCACACCACTGGCTCTGTCCCAGGACAGTCCCACTGCCATCCACAGGGCAGGTAGGGGCTCGGGTCCCACTAGCTCACAGGGACAGGGTGCCCTCGAGGGTTTCCTGTCCTGTCCTTGTGCCTGTTGGTGTGAAGGTCACGGTGATTATGATCGTGATTGACGTTGTGATTGTGATGGTTGAGGCTTCACTTGCTACCACTGACCTCAGTCAAGGAAGTGCCTCCGTCCCCCGAGGGAAACTGCCAGGAGGTGTGTGCCCAGGAGTACGATGGCCGATTAGGTCCTTCCCAGGGCTGTATCATGGCTCTTTCCAGAACACTGGAAACCTGATGTGGCCTTATGGACAGATGTCCTGCCATCTCCTACTTCCCCTGTACATCGATGACCTAGCCTCATACCTCACTGAGGAAACAGGAGCCCAATGTATGGGAAGCCCAGCCCTTACCTCTACTGACCCTATACCCCTCCCTGCACTCGGGCCATCTTCTCCTTCCCTACTCATTCCTGAGAACGAGGCCCTCCTCTTATCAAAGGATGGCGCTTAGTGGCTTCCCATTGATGGGAATAAAAATCCCACTTCTTTCCCCGGCTGATTTTATTTTACCTTATTTATTTATTTATAGTTTTGGTCCTGCCACATGGCATGCGGGATCTTAGTTCCCCGACCTGGGATCGAACCCGTGCCCCCTGCAGTGGAAGTGCGGAGTCTCAACCACTGGACCGCCAGGGAAGCCCCTCCCCGGCTGACTTTAACCTCACCTCCTCCCACCCTGGCTTCCTGTGTTCCAGCTACTCGGGCCACCTTTCTGTTCCACAAGCACAGCAAGTTTGTTCCGGCCTCAGGGTCTCGGAGTCCACAGTCACCCCAGATCTCTGCACAACAGCTTCAGCTTCAGCTCAGAGTCCTTCCCTGACCTCCCCCTCTTAAGGGGCTCCCCCAGTTCCTCTCCATCTCATCCTCCTTGTGTTTCCTGCCCTGCAGTGTTCTTGTCTACTTATGTGTTACGGATTCGACTGTCTTCCTCATTAGATTGTAAGCTCCACGGTGCAGGGACCTCATTCTCTGCTGTATCTGGTACCTGGTCTGTGCCCAATAAAAGGAAATGGAATAAATGAATAGATGTCTGTGTTTCTTCCCTCTTTGTTCTCCCTGGATCATTGCTAGCATCTTGTTTGAATGTCCAGGCCTGGTTTCTGCTCTGTGCTGGGCTATAAATGGAAGGGGCAATGTCCCAACTGCACTTGGCCGGAGTGCAGGGCACTTGTGGCGGTGGCATCAGAAGTTGGTAGGTGATTGCAAGGGGCTTTGGGTCTGACCAGTGTTGAAAGGTCCAGATGCCACTGACCTGGGTTTGGTTTTAATAAAGAAGGCAGCATCTCCTCCTAGCTTCATGCTATCATTACCACCAGGCTTCCTTACTGGGTGGATTTTTGTTGGTTTTTGGCTGCCCTACATCCCAACCCCCTTCCTCTTTAGGGGGAAGCCCCCACTACATATGTCTCGATGGACATCCTACTACTGAAGTTAAGGGGACCACAGGCCCCTCCTCCCACTCCTTGGCAGATAAGACATGGGCACATGACCTGGGCTCGGCCAAGTGGATGCCTCAGCCCAGAGCTTTGAATCTTGAGTGAGTGATGCAAAGATATGAGGGTTTAGGGCTTCCCTGGTGGCTCAGTGGTTGAGAGTCTGCCTGCTGATGCAGGGGACACGCGTTCGTGACCCGGTCCAGGAAGATCCCACATGCCGCGGAGCGGCTGGGCCCGTGAGCCATGGCCGCCGAGCCTGTGCGTCCGGAGCCTGTGCTCCGCAACGGGAGAGGCCACAACAGTGAGAGGCCCGCGTACCGCGAAAAAAAAAAAAAGATATGAGGGTTTAGAATTCACTCAGAAAGATGGGCTTTGGTAGTAGTGGTCAGTGTGGTGTCTGATGGTGACAGCTCTATCTGGGTGTCTTGCTGAGGGGCTTGGTCTGTTCAATGCTGTCACTTCCTTGGTTCCTGCCCTTTATCTCAGCCTGGATCACCAGGCTTTGTGTCCATTCTGGGAGCTCCCCAATACCTTTTGTTTCTTCATAGGTCAGCCAGAGTCAGGTTCTATTGCTTGCACCCAAGAACTCTTATTGCCACCTACCTCCACCACTAGACATTGTCATTATCACCATTCCCATCAATCCCAAGATCAAGCACCCATCAATTTAGCCCCATAATCTTCACCAGACACCATCACCATCCATGTCTTGTGACCTCAAGCATCAATAGCTTTAACTGTCTTCAGGCTCTCAAACTGTATTTGTCAGGGTTCAGTGCAGGAAACAGAAACCCTGCCTTAGTGTTTTTAGCAGGAAGGTATTTAATAGAGGACAATTGTTCCAGAGGCCGAATGAGCCACACCTCTAAGAATGACTCCCAGAACCATACAGAACTTATCCACCAAGAGAGTCACTGTGAATTCAAGAACACGCCCCTGAAGCTTCAGTCCAGGAATCAGGAAGCTGCAGGTAAGAAGTTGCTACCACCACATTCACAATTGCCACTGCCTCTGGGCAAGCAGGAAGCTGGACCTGATACCAGAACACTGCTGCAGAAAAACCTCCTGTTACCGGGCCGGCAGAAACAGCCAAAAGGGAGCAAAAAAAACCAAAAAGCAACCCCCCAAAACCCCCACTACAACAACCAAATCATAAATAGTGCTTGTTACGTGGCCAGCACTCTTCTATTATTATTCCTATTTTATGAATGAGAAAACCGAAGCACGGAAGGGCTGCACCTCACTTTAGCCTTCTAAATCTTGCTGGAGTGAATCTAATAAGTGGAGCCTGTTCCACATATAAACACTGCAAGGGAGGGAAATGTAGTTGTTAGCTTTCCAACCTCCCCGTCTAGGAGGGTGGGATGGAGGCTGAGAGAGCCTAGCCACAGTATCTACCCTGTAAACCATCACTACCACTGTCACCTCTCCATCAACGCTATGATCTGCTTTTTTCCCCCCCGAAATAAACTCTGCTTTATTCAGATAGCAAAAGGTTGAGAATCAAACATTATATTTTATCTTATTTTTTTGGCTGTGTTGGATCTTCATTGCTGTGTGCGGGTGTCCTCTAGTTGCGGCAAGCAGGGGCTACTCTTGTTTCAGATCCCGGGCTCTAGGCGCGCGGGCTTCAGTAGTTGTGGCACGTGGGCTCAGTAGTTGTGGCTTGTGGGCTCTAGAGCACAGGCTCAGTAGTTGTGGCTCGCGGGCTCTAGAGAGCAGGCTCAGTAGTTGTGGTGCACGGGCTTAGTTGCTCCACGGCATGTGGGATCTTCCCAGACCAGGGCGCGAACCCGTGTCCCCTGCATTGGCAGGCGGATTCTTAACAACTGCGCCACCAAAGAAGTCCTCAAACACTATATTTTAAACCTCATTTGCACATCTCTGAAACCAGAGGGGACATCCCTGGGCCAATCACCTGGGATGACCTTGGCTGACAGACACCTGGATGAGGGAACTATCCCCTTAACCACCATCAAGTCATCACCAGCCCCGTCACCTCCTCCACCAACACTGAGCTCTGACAGCCGTCACCTTTTCCGTCACTTGACAAACGTCATCATCAGTGTCACTACCACCATTGTCATGATTATCCCCATTACCTCCATCCCCAGCAGCAGGGCGGCGTTGAGCGGCCATTGAGGTCACTTCCTTGCCTTGGTGCTCCAAAAAGTAATTGCTTAATTAGATGCTTGTGCTTTGAGCTATTTCCTCAAAGTAGGAAATCTTCCCAGGCTCCGATGAGGCTGGGGATGGTTTATATACTGGAGGGGTCTGCCCCTGTGAGTGTGGCTGTGAGGGTCCAAGGCAAGCCTCTGGGAGGCCATTCCATCCATCCCCCTGCCTTGTGGTGGAGAAAAGCAACATAGTAATTAGGAGTGCTGGTCAAGTTAGTCTAGGTCAGCTTAGACAAGTGACTTCACCTTTCTGGGTCTCAGTTTCTTTATCTGTAAAATAGGATAGTTCTTATAGAGGAACGTGGGGATTAGAGGTGATGTAAATAAAGAACCTGGCACAGTGCTTAGTGCTTAGGAGGCTCTCAAATGAAAGTCACTAATACCTTTTATTTCTTTTATCTAACACATATAGAGCTCACTTCGTGCCAGCACTGTTCGGAGCACCTGACAAAGTTCAGTTCATTAACTGAAACTTCATAAGAGCCCGTGGAGATAGGTACTATTCTTTTTCCCTTTTTACAGATGAGGAAACTGAGGCACAGAGAGGTTAAGTAGCGTATCCAAGGTCACACAGCTAGTTAGTGGCAGAGCTGGGATTTTAGCTCAGGGAGTCCAGCTCACATCTGAGCTCTTGACGCTGATGCTCTCTGGCAGCAAGTGTTTCTTCCTCGTTCTAAAAAGCTCCCCTTCTGCCCCATCCAGGTTGGAGAAGACGCTGCTCTTTTTGTCCAGCAATTGGAAACGGGCCTCCAGAAGTCACTGTGTCCAGTTTCTCATCTTGGACAGAAATACCCGCGTTCACCCTGTCCAGGGCCTCCCGTCCCTCCCAGCCAGGAAGTCTTTCCTGTTGTCTGTTTGGATTTGGGCTGAGGCAGCGGTTTCCAGGGAGGAACCACCTGGGCTGAGATACCTCGTAGTGGGGACCTCAGGAGATGTGGTGGAGGGAGGGGTCTTGACCCTGGGCTCTCAGCCAGTGGGATGGGGGTGGAGGGGGTCTGGGGTGGGTGGAGCTCTGGGGCAGGCTTCCCTGTTAGCTGCTCTGCAGGGGGCCTTGTTTCCCCACCCACCCCATGACTGCACCGGAAACCTCTCAGGCCCCAGTGAGCTCCAGGCCCCTCCCCAAGCCCCCTCCTCCTAAGCTCCCCCACACCCCACTCAGACCCTGCCATGTCCTCTGGGCCCCCTCTTCTTGGTCCCCATCCCTTTTGCCCTCTCAACGTCTGACATTGTTGTCTGCTCCCTGGATTCTGAGACCCCGTTCTGCCCAGGCTTCCCTCCCCCTGCAACCCTCTTGGTCTTCTCTCCCTCTTACTCCATCGTGGGGGGCTCCTTGGGGAGCCGGCACCACACCCCAGGGCCTGGGCATCTCAGTCACCACAGCCTCAACATGTCCCAAACCCACCACATCTTCTCGCTCCAAATTTGGCCTCCATCTTAGCCGGGGACCCAAACCGAAAAGAAAGCTTGAGGTCTCCCTAGACTTGCCCCCTTCTCCCTCCACACAACATCCCTGCCATCTAACAGGTAGTAAGCACTTACTGCATACCAGGTGAGGAGCTCCTGGGGCTGACCAAAGCAGGTTCCTGGGCATGTATAAACACTCCTGAAGCTTCCACAAATACAGGGATGGGGAAGAGGTTTGTAATAAGTCTGGATTTTCCACAGTTAAGCTGGGGTGAGGAGGACCCCTCTGGAGGGTCGTGTGAGGGGGCTGCTTGTGGATGTTGGGGTGCACCACTCAGAACCCCCTACAGGACTCAGGTACTCGTTCCCCCAGAAACCACCTAGTATAAGATTATGTCCCCTCCCTGGGGGGGATTCAGGGACTGGTCACCGGGGAAGCTCAGGGGCCTGGTCCCCTTGCCTCAGCTGGGGTTAACTCTGAAGGGCTGTCCCAGCGCCTTGAGGAAAACATTTATGACACCCCACCACCTATTAGGCCTCTTGTTCCCTCATGCATAGACTTCCTGTATTTTTCATTCATAGAACTTCGTCCCACTTCATTCATTTGTTCAATACCAGGAGTGCTCCATGCACTGATACACCAGTGAACAGGAGGCAAAATCCCTGCTCTAGACAGGAGACAGGCGATAGCACGTATGTAGTATAACGTGAGGTGGTGACCTGCATTTTGAAAGAAAGTGAGGAGGACAAAGGATAGAAGGAAGGAAGCTGCACTTTTTCTTTTTAGAAAAAATTTTTTTTTGATGTGGACAATTTTTAAAGTCTTTATTGAATTCGTTACAATATTGCTTCTGTTTTATGTTTTGGTTTTTTGGCTTCAAGGCATGTGGGATCTTAGCTCCCCAGCCAGGGATCGAACCCGCACTCCCTGCACTGGAAGGCGGAGTCTCAACCACTGGACCACCAGGGAAGTCCTGGAAGATGCTCTTTTG